GGATCAAATATAGATCTCCGTTTAAGTTTATTTGTTGGTTTGATTGGTGTATTTCTCCATTTCATGCTTGTAATTTGTAACTTTGTGCTAGCCTCTTGCTAATGTTTTTTAATGCATCTGTCGTTCAAAAAAAAAGTAAATATAATATCACTCATAAGGGCAGACAAAATCGTTGTTGGGTTCGCCGACGGTTTAGGAATTTAGTGGCGGTACCGCCGGCTCATGTTTCCTTCACATGCGGGTTTTAGTGGGATAAATTTATTGTATTTAACGGGTTCACCAACCCACTCTTCTACATGCATATTGAGATGAATAGCCAATTGCATAATTGCTTCGTCAGATTATTCTTTTTCATTCGATGCAAGATATGTCATTTTCTATGTTTATTTTGTAACGCTTGGTCCAGGTATTATTTAGTTCTCAATATTTTAGGGTTTGGGCTGGAACTCGATCAGTTGGGGAGCTCCAACTCGTCGTGTAGGGATTTATTTGGACGCGGATTAAGGACTCAACTCGACGAGTAGACGCTGGAAAGGAAAACCCTAATTTTTAGGGTTTGCACCCTATTTAAAGGCCTTAAGCCTCATTGTTAGCCTCCCTCAGCGTCCCCTCAGTCCAGAGAAACCCTAAATCGTGTGTCATCTCCCATATCTGAGTGTGTGTGAGTTAAAAGAGTGTGTTCCTTGGTGTTTTCTTGAAGGAGTTGAAGTTAGTGGTGCATAGTTGAAGGGAGAGGCTGTAGATCCGGGGATTTCTCTGTTGTGGCAGCTATATTAAGGTATAAAATCGATACCTTGACCTTTCTTTTGCTAGATCTCTTCCCTTGAAAGTTTATGGCCATTATTAGCCTATTTTGGGACCATTCTTGGATTTGAGCATGTTATGAAGATATGGCTTCAGATCTGGACATCTCATGGCCTTTGTGGACTTAAAGTTGCCAACGTTATCAAGTCTTGGCCCTCCTTCATGCTCCAAGTCCCTTAACAAGCTTTGTTTTAGTGTTTTAGCCTCTTGATACCATGTATGGAGGTAAAGTTAGCAACTTTACGTGGTATCTTCACCCTTGGAGATCAGATCTATAGTTTGGGGCTTTGGACTCGCTAGAAAAGTGGCTGAATGTGTTAAGACTAGGAAAACTCGACGAGTTGCCCTGCCAACTTGGCGAGATGACTCGGGTTTCCCCGATCCTCTGGACACTATGCGAACTCGACGAGTTGCCCTGTCAACTCGACGAGTTGACTAGGGTTTCTCCCTGGTCTTTTGAGAACTGAAGGAACTTGATGAGTTAGCAAGTGCACTCGACGAGTTGGGTCAACATGGACTGTTGACCTTGACTGTTGACTTTGACTTTGACCATGGTCGACCAAGTTTGACTTTAAGGGTATCTTTGGTATTTTGGGATTTTGATGATGTTAGTCGCATGGTGGCTGTAGGCAGTTGAGTTTGGAGCTGTGAGTTGGGATTTGATCTTACCGGTTCAACATTCCTTGAGAGGTGAGTCTCCTCACCATACCAATGGGTCGAAGGCACCAAGGCTGATCCATTATTTGCTATGTGATATGCTAGTTGTACTTGTGATACTTGCATGAAAGACCTCGGGGGTTCCCGAGGCACTTGGGTGTAAGACCTTGGAGGGTTTCCATGGCATCCTTAGTAAAGACCTCGAGGGGGTTCCCAAGGCACTTGGGGGTGTAAGACCTTGGAAGGTTTCCATGACATCCTTAGTAAAGACCTCGGGAGGTTCCCGAGGCACTTGGGTGTAAGACCTTGGAGGGTTTCCATGGCATCCTTAGGCTAAGACCATGTGGGGGTTCCCATGGCACCCGGAGTAAGACCCTGGAGGGTTTCCAGGGCATCCTTA